TTTTACTGTGTATAATCAGCAGTAGATCAATGCACCGAAAAATAAAAACAGAGTCTAGTTTTTATGGAAAAAAAGGTGAATTATATTATATAAATAGATCTTTTCCTACAAAAGATACCAAACATATCTCAAACATTGCTAGTTCGACTTATATAAAATAGTTTCCGATTTAATCTTTCGATCATAATCTGATGTCAGAAAAGTTAATAACACTGAAAAACTTACTGCTCACAACGTATTGCACTCTTTTCTTTATACCTAAAACTCAATTGACACCTCATTACCATTTCTTGGTTTGGGCAAATCTCCAGTAGGTAAGAGTTTACTAGAGTATTTACTCTCCTTTTCGAAACGCGAAAGAGTTTTCAATCATTATGATAAACGGTATTCCATACGTCGACGTCGTTGTCATTAGAATCATCCCCGTAAATTTCAATAATAAGACCGCTAATATTACGCAAAAATCTCCGTGCATCAGGACGCTTATCAGGATCAGCATCACAACACCGCTTGGCAAGTTCCTTGTATTTCTCTGGTGCGGAATCAGGCATCGATGGTCGTAGTCCATCCATAACGTTGCGCATTAGACTTGCATCAAACTGTCTACCTCTAAAGGTGGTTCGCCAGTAGCAATCAAATACATAATAATGCCAAAAGAATATATATCTGATTTCTGAGTGAATTTTCGAGTCCGGAAGACTTCCGGTGCAATAAAGGGCAAAACGCCTCGAATAGTTGACTTGTGTGACTTCACCGATCGAGAAAGACCAAGGTCGCATATAAATGAGTCGCTATCATGCAAGACAATGTTTCCACCATGTAGATCACAGTGCACCATGAATAGTAAACAGATCATCTGCAATCTCTCCGCTAGATTAATTTTACCTAACTCAACTATCGATAACGATAAACTTCGATATGATTGTTAAGGGATCATTATTATTATCGGAGATGATTGTCAGGGGAAATGAAATGAGGTCGGAGATCTTGGTGTAACACATTTACGCATTTATTAAAACTGGTGTGTGCAATGGAACACAACTGTTCTGTTTAACATTACCCATAACTGAATTTGTTACAACCAGCAGAATTGATAGAATAAAACCCGGGACTATTTGAAGTGCCAGTATGTAAAAAATCCAATTTTCTGGATTCTATTTTTTGCATCAAACGTAATAGAAGGACTGCTCGACTTAATAAAAACACATTTCTTTATTTTACCTGCATCGATTGTTCATGTAAAAAAACTAACAAAATTTAATTTGAACAACGTCTCTATAGGATAGAGTTAAATTGACACTCCTTAAATTTCCTGGGAATTCGATTGACTGTTGAGAATTTATCTTAATTGAACACTATGTATTTAGTTAATGTATTATAAACATATTAATATGTATCAAAAATTGATGTAGGTCTCCATAATGCATGAATGTTATTAATTACGATCGACTAGTGTTCCGAAAAGTAGTTAATGCACCCCATAATTATGTAATACTATATGCTATTCGTTATTAGCTCTACACAAATTAATGGAAATCTTACCCTTATTTTATTAAAATTATTTCCATAAAATAACAGCGTTTTGGCTTGCTCTGATTATAAATTCATTGATTCAATATTCAGCAAAAGACCATGACTCGTAATCTCTACTTTCTACTATATTTATTGGCTACAATTACACCAATCAATGCTATTCCGCACAAACTCGACAAACGAACCACTGTTTTTGGACAATGTTCTTTAACCCCTGCTTTACCAACATTCCAAGTAACAGTATCACCAGATCCTGTCGTTGCGGGAAAACTTGCTACATATAATTTTTCCGGAACCGCGCAAACAGATTTTCCCAATGACATGGAAATTTTTATTATGTTCAACGACACAGAGAGTACACTAGATGGTGGCGACTTTTGTAACATTCCGGGAAATCCAGCTTGTCCAATCAAACGCGGAACCTCTTTTAACCGATTGTTTTCATCAGTTCAGATACCGGAAGACCTACCCGCTTCTCATACTGAAACAGTTTTATTTATACAAGCCGATTCAGTAACCTCCACAATTGCTTGTGCAGTGGCTACTGTTTCCTGACGTAGCGGTTATCAATTTGTCTTTATAATAAAAAAATTTTTTTTTGTAAGTTAGTACTTTATGTAATAATACATAAAATAATAAGTCAATAAATTAATAATCACGACGTATATATGATATTTTGCTATTAATATATTCAAATGGGTTTAATTCCAATTAGGCGTAATTTGTTTGCGATTGATAAATTAATCAAGTTTTGTCGTTCCACCGGATGATTTTTATCACCGACCGTAAATGCATCACATGCGGAGCAGGATATAATCGAAAATAAAACTTGTCAGCAACCATGTAATAGTAGTCATTACAGTTGATAAACTCTTTTATATAAGTTTGCAAGCTATTTATAAACCGACTCATCATTATTGTACGTAAGTATAGTTTGCTAAACTCACTCACAAGCGTTGGTTTACATTCTTAAGCTGTAGTAACATTGTGTTATAAACTTTCCGATACTGTATATGTTTGTTTGCGAATAGCATTAGACATCGTTCAACTTGACTTATCTTAAGTGTTCATATTTGCTTTCTAAGGAGGCTTACACAAAAATTTCGATTACTGGATATGCAATATATTGATTTGATTCGATTTTGAATAAACAAATTCTTTCACATTACAAAATACAGGATTACAAAGTTAAATGTTTGTATTATCGCAGTCAAGAATGACGAACAAACGGTTTGATTGACTGTATTATTTCCATAATAAGGCAAAGTTCTGCAGTAATTCTGTGATAACGACAAAACAATATTATGAGATTGAGTTAAACGTCAAGTCAAGTTACGGTTGAGTCACAGCCAGTGTTTAGAAAAGTCTTAAAATGTTCAGATTTAAATGATTACGTAAAGTTATAATGAAGAATGTTAACCCTTCATAATTAGGAATGCTTTAATAGTGCCCGGCCAACCACGTTGACTAAGCGTAGGACAATTATCTCGGCAAGGATTTGGAATTGCATCAAAGTTTATTGTATTAATTTGGCTACAAATGCTGTTCTTTGTCAACGTACAGCAATACTTATGTATAGCTTTTGTTTGATAGTATACGTTTTTGCGTTGCGTTTTGCGTATAATAAGTGAGAAGAAAAAAACAAAAACTATGATTTGACGTTTGTCCACGGATGTTATAACTGAGATCTTGCAATTTCGATCCTACGAAAAAAAGTTGCAATGTACAGTAAATATATTGTAGCACTCCTTCATACAAAATCAATATACTTGTAAATTGTATAATTGCGTTTTTCTGTACGGCTTGATTGATCTGCATAGTTTGTCTGTCGTGTTAGTATTAGTATTAGTATGTACTGTTACGATTTTATTAACCGGACGCTTTCCTTTTCGTATGTATTCGAATACCGTAATGGGTAGCTTTAGGCCTGATATCCGTAGTTACCGGAGAGCTCATTATTTTCCCAATGAATTTACGCAATCGGTATGTTACCATTATGTAGAAGATACTATATTATGGTTATATACGAAATTTTCCATGTAATAAGCAGATGCGTCCGCCTTGATAACGTAACGCTTCAGCAGTTGTTCTTGAAATTCCATTTTCGCAAATTATTGTATTTGCTTCCATATCTCTTCGTCACTAGTCTAACTATTGTCAGGAGCGCATTTACTATAACCCCCTTTCTTTTTAGAAGTTGCATCCATCGTATTCGTTATTGTAGCGATCTTTCTTCTTATTCATCCTTATCATCCAATTGCGTTTATATAGTTAACTTTTTTGCGGTCAAACTCAAAGTAATGTAATAATCAATAGAATATTTTCATGCACCTTATCGAACCGTCAAGATTGTTCGTACAAACGCATAACTTGTTGCTTGTGACTTTGTTTCTAAATGTAACTTTTAATGCAATCTGATGTATGTGCGCATGGATGGGTTTAATAATATAATAAATTATTTGCATTAGCATTTGAAAGGCCTTTTGGTTACTGCTCAACGGCTTTTCTAAATCAGGTAATACCGTGATTCACCCTTGTGTACCCCGAGATGATTCCCCTCATGTAATGTGAAGTAATTACAGAAGACACGTAACAATTCTAATGCCGAAAATTGTATCGCAACAAAAGTAATGGAATCAAACCGGGTCCCCATCTTATCTAATACTTGCCGATACAATGTCTAATAAAAATCCAAGGCTTTTGAATTTTTTTTTTCATATTGAATGTAGCATAAAAGTTATTCATATACAGTGACAGTTTTCTATTTAACGTACTCTTTTGGCCTCATATCGATCTAAACTATTGTTTGTGTAAACAAACAAGTTTTAATTTTAATCAACATTCCCTATAGAATGTATTTAAATTAGCGCTGCTTAAACTTCAAATTCGAATATCACACTGTTAAAACTAATACGACATAAGCTATTTAATTAAGAAATTAAGGATGGTCTCATTAGCTTACCTCCCAGACAAATTTGCCAAGTAGATAAGAGACAGTGCTCAGAAGCTCTTGCCAAACTAGTGGAAAGATTCTCTATTGTTTGAAAATTATACATGTCAACTAGAATAAGTTGAAACGTAATACAATAACAGTTATTACTAATAATTACCAATAATACTATTTATGGAAGTAAATTACCGCCTCTAACTTCCTTATAATGATTATCGGCTTCGAATTGTCAAATCAATCAGAAGTTAGATTGCGAGTTAAACTGTGAGTATACTAAAATCGTATGCTGCACATATCGAGATTTGCCATTATAAATGCAGGTCTCCATAAAACGTGCACGTTGTTCATCGTCATGTACATTTAATTTCCCACGCTTCATTTCCGTATGGTCCACAAAATTTTACATGCAAAATTTTAATTAATAAAGCCGTTTTCCTATAAAAAACTGATACGTTTTGGTCTGCTTTGATTACAGATCTGTTGATCAAGACCTTAACAAAACCATGACTCGAACTCTTTTTTTTTTTTTATTGCTTTTGTTTCGGTGATCAATGCCATTCCGCATCACTCGGAAAACGAGCTAGTGTTTTTGGACAGTGTCCTATAACCCCTGCGCTGCCAACATTCGAAGCAACAGTATCACCCGATCCTGTCGTTGGAGGCCAAACCGCTACTTATAATATTTCCGGAATTGCGCAGACTGATTTTTCTGATGATGCGAAATTTCTCATTCTTATCAGTGATGCGTTTTGCGAAACTCCATATGATTCACCGCTTGGTGGTAACATTTGCGACCTTCCTGGAAACTCGCCTTGTCCAATTAAACAAGAAACCTCTTTTAATCGATTGTTTTTATCAGTTCAAACGCCGGATGGCATACCCTCATCTTTTGTCGATACTATTTTAATTATGCAAGCCGATACAACGACTTCTACAATTGCTTGTGCAGTAGCTACGTGGTACTGTTGACCCTGTTTGATGTGGTCTTATAAAAAACGTTACTATTTAAATTTGTTATTAGTGTTAAGTAAAAGTCTAATTACTAACAATATATTTATTAATCAAAATTGCAGAACAAATTATAGTCGCATGTTGGAAAAATTACCTTCCATTTGTGTATGGCGTGAGCATAGTCAAACTAAACATAAAAAGAGCATTATCTAAAAAATGTATATGTAAAATTTAAATAAAATTATGGGGCGGAGCGAAAAGTTTAATACACCAAATTTGCCACCCCCCAAAATTATTTTTGTGTCATGAGAATTTACGTCATAATATAACCTGAAATTTTAGGATAATTTTTTTGAAGACTTTTTCTTTATTCTGTGCAAGTTTTAAGCGCGTCCCGCTGGTATGGCATCGTTGGAACGGAC